ATGTAGCCTCCATCGAGGTAGTTCGCTATGCATTCTTGAACCTAAATGTTCGATTTTCTTCCAAAGATTCAAAGTTTCTATGTCAGTTTTGATGCAACGCTTTTAACTTAACCATGTGATATTCATACTTAATTATTTTGAGAAAAAATCTTATTGCTTGATAAAAACGCATTCTAGCTTGCACAATATAAGCCTCTTTTCCACGTGTTACTCCACTTGCTTATCTCGTCATGAGCATTTTTGTGATAACTCTCCCCTTTTTGGAGTTTGTTGGTTATTCTGGTTATTGGTTTTGCTTCGTTGTGGTACTTTTATGACTACGCCCTTTTGTTATGATGAAAGCCAGCGTAATTTCCCTAATGAAGAATTTGAAGCCATCACGAGAAGGAAAACTGCTTTGGCAAACATCCAATGGCTTCATTCAATTTCGAAGCCTTTAAAAGGTTCATTTTAATACGTACGCGTTCAAAATACATATGTAACCACCCATAAATTAATAGATAATATTGAATTGTTGGATAAGGTGCTATTTCGTCGAAATTAAAATACATGAAAAATTAGAAGTTTTGGCGTGGATCACTAGAAAGAACAAAGTGGCTTTACAAGACGATTAGTTTGATTGAAATTGACAGACCTTATTCAATTCAAAAACCACTGGAAAAAAGTTTCAAAGAGCAAAAAACGAGCTACTCCGACAACTGTTTTCTTACAGTCTCAGGATTTTGGTATTCATCGAACTTCATCTCCGCCTGATAAGTTATTCGACGGCTGTTTAATAATATCATATTTGTACTGCACGAAGAAAGTAACTGTAGATTACGTTACTAGACGATGGGTGGACGAAAACCTTGAACTTGAATGAAGAGTGGCCTAATGGGGATTTACCGACATTCTAATTAGAAAATCGTATTCATTCTGCAAGATAAGGCTTTACTATAAGATGCGGTAAGTAAACGATAGAGCGGTCGAAATCCGTTCGTGCGGGGTTTTTCGTATTTTCTATCACTCCTTGGAATCTTCACTTAACAACCTGCCTCCAAAAAATGAACAATTCTTACGACCACGCTGTGTTTGCTTGTCATTTCCGTCCTCACATGATATGCCCAAGCCGCATCCCAATTCAAACACCATTACAACAAATTTCAAAAGTATTTAATAAAATGTCCCTGTCTAATGCAATGGAGACATTTTGGCATTATGGTAGCCTGGTCGCGGCATCACTTTGCTGAATGAATAATATTGAATTTTCGAAAAGAAAATCGACCTCCTTTCAAATCAAAAAGGTTTCACTACGTTTTTCACGAAATTTAGTCAAAAACCATTCTAAATTACTCGCATGGCAGAGCAGCCTGCAAAATTGCGCTTTGAAATTTAATTTTGGTAAACTTTCGATTAGTTGTCTCCAACGACTGCATTGAAACCATTACTTATTTTTTATTCGTTGAAGAAGTCTACACAATAGGGGTGGTTCTTGATTCTGAAAGGCAATTACCCAGTAAAGCAGCAAACATGGTACACTATGTTACCATACTTTTTTGGCGAATAAAAAACCTTGTTAGATTGGCAATTGAGATTTAAACTCTTCCCTCGTTCAATCGTTTAATCACAGCGGCTTCAGTTTTGTCGCTTTTAAATTACTGTGAACCCTCGTTCTTCAGTGGCTTCGCAGTACAAACATTGCCATTGCCTAATCTTTCCGCCATCGTGTAAAAGTCATTATTCTTCAATTATAGCTAATAACATGCCTGTAACAACCGCTTGGACTGCCGAGTTTGAGATGAGAGATCACCTCCGTCTGTAGTGATAGTCAAAAATTACACTTCAAACCTACATTGCCTAGCAATTGATTTATCCCGCTTATTGAAATAAGTAATTTCCACTACAGCATGTCCAAGAGATCAGATATAAGCTCTAGTGTGATGTCAGCCTTTTATTCTTTCATTCATATGAAAGTCAGAGGTTTTATCTACGTTAAAGTAGACAAATGATTTGAAGGGGATTAGTAATTGAACCAATCTTACTAATTTCGTGTTTTAATTCAAGAAAAAGATTGTCGGCCAAATCACTAGTTGATTTGTAGGTTGATGCATACTTTTACTGCATATTCTACTGGCTCCCACCTGAATCAACTCATGGAACAGACCAAAGTCGAAGATGATAACATCAGCACTGAGAAAATTCCCTGCATTTGGAGAAGACTCGTTAAATGAGCAGAGAAATATCTAAAATACAAATCTTTCAGACTTTTTCACTGAATTTCGCAAGTTTCTGAGTTTATACTTTACTTATTTTCCTTGAATGATTTGACGAGATTTGTAGCAAAGCAAAGCAAATCTAAATTTCTTACTCACACTATTGAAATTCGCTATTGAATATACATGCTGAGCCAGGGAGACTGTAGCGACGATGAATTGCGCAACAGCAAGGATGATAACAATTGAGCGATTTTTCACCCAAATTCCGCAAAAATACGTCCACTCGTCCTGCACCCGTACACCGCGACACATTGAATCTGTAAATACACATTATGGCGTCATTTATTATTTTATGCCAGCTTTTTAATGGACAAATTGCAAAAAAGGTAGATATCGACAGCAAAATG